AAATTAACATTTCTAGACCAATGTGGCTGTCCATTTCTGTACAATGCCAACTCAACACAGTAAATTGGGATGACTTTTTCCAAAGTTGGCAGCACCGTTAAAGTTTCCCAAAATTCAATTTATATATATAATGTATATATATTTATATTTATATAAAAAGACTAATAATAATATGTTATACATCGATAGCAGCAACAGCTTTTCCAGGTTCTGCAGTCATCTGAACAAAACTATAGATATTCGGCACATTCCATTAAAAACAAAACAAAACAAAACAAAACAAAAAAAGAAAAGAATAATATCCAGAAAACAGCAAAGTTCTGTTGCTGTTGTGGTACCTGGGACCATTTTTTTTTATTAGCATCTTAATCATCATCTGGAAAGAGAACATTCTAGAGTAATGTCATTAAATGTAGCTCTGATAAAGCACGGTCCCTACTATGTATCATAAAACAGGTGCAAGATATCTTACATTCATAGAGGTATGATACAGTGCCGTCCTACATCAATAATACTAGGATCAGTTTTGGTTTGAAATTTACTTTACCTGTATAATGGTTTATTATGTTCTTCCCAGAGATCTGAACATCCAATGAAAGACCATGAAAGACTTGTGATTTCTCCTCTTCATAAGTCCTGTTCATTGCTCCTATTCGTGACCTCTCTATTATATTTCTCTTAAGCCTTTGAGAAAGCTAAATGAAACGCTTAAATCTACCAAGTCACAATATCTTCTATGTATCAGAAGAACCCTAGCAGGTTTTAATTTGCTAAAGTCATGGTGAGTAGGAATGGAGAAATAGGGAGGGGAAAACTATTTGAATTCATAGATCTATGCGTCACTTCAACAATTTATAATACCAATGAGAATTGTCTGAATAATTTTAGACCAATTTTTAGAACAGATATGGTCAATAATATTTCCTATCCAATTATTATATACTGCCTAAGGACAAAATTGTTATCCTGTCTTCAGTTTCTCTCATTAAATTCCATTCAAATGTCTTTCTTCCTAAGGTCAAAGAATAATAAGTGGATCTTGGAAAGCCTTTTCTTCTTCAGTCTTCTAAAGCTGGCTATGACTTATTTTAGCATAGACTACCAGTTTGACAATATAATCACATATCAATTGTTTGCACCTTTTAATTATATCTGATTTTTTATTGATACAAAGCAAAGAGAGGGAACTGATTATAAAACATCTGCAGTGATTCTTCAGCTCATCACTGCCAGTTTGCACATTGTGATAACAAGATTCTATGATGGTTCTTCAGCTTACAATATCTGATGAGGGCCTACTGCCCGGTTCCTAAGTGGTGTCTTCTAGCTGCACCCTCACATGGTGGAAGGAGCAAGACTACTCTTTTGGATCTCTGTTATAAGGGACATAATCTCATTCTTTGTGGCTCTGCCTTCATCACCTAATCATTTCCTAAAGTTCCTACCTCTTTTTTTTTTTTTTTTTTTTTTTTTTTTTTTTTT